TTTTATTTTTACCGGGATCTGCATGTCGATCAGTATCAAAAAAGTATGTGCAGGTGTATCAAAAACGTAAGATTTGCACCCCAGACGATTTCTGCTATCATGTAGATCTTGTGTAACATTAATACTGATAGAATGATAAGCATTCGATTGTAATAACATATTTTTTTTCAAACTTTAGACGAATATATAACAATAACAGCCTATCCAAGTTTTATTAAAAACCCTTTTGCTTAATTCTATAGATTCACAGAATTAAAATAAAAAAAATTCATCGTTATTGGATTGGTAGTTATTGAGATATTGTCACTCAAAGTTTGAAAAAAAAAACTTAATGCAGTCGTAATTTGATGATCGCCTAAATTTTTTTAAAATTTGAGCAAAAATATTTCGATAACTACCTATATAAACTTGACAAATTTTTTTTTTATTTTAATTCTGTGGATTCATATAGTCAAAATAAAAAAATTTTTATCAATTTTGGATAGATAGTTATCGAGAAATCCTCATTCAAAATTTAAAAAATTTAGGCGATTATCAAATTATCAAAACAAAGACCGCAGCCTAAGTTTTTTTCAAACTTTGAGCGATAATATCTTGATAACTACCCATCTAAGAGCAATGCATTTTTTTTTTATTTTAATTATATGAATTTGTATAATTAAAATACAAATTTATTTATCAAACTTAAATGGGTTGTTATCGAGATATTATCGTTCAAAGTTTGAAAAAACTAAGCTACGGTCTTTGTTTTGATGATCACCTTAACTTTGAACGAGAATATCTCAATAAATACCAATTCAAAATCAATGAAATTTTTTATTTTCATTCTATGATTCCATATAATTAAAATAAAAAAATTTTCACCGATTTTGGCCAGGTAATTATTGAAATATCTTCGTTCAAATTTTTAAAAATTTAGGATAATCAAAGACCGCAGCGTTAAGTTCTTTTCAACCTTTGAACGATAATATCTCGATAACCACCCATTTAAGTTTGATAACTAAATTTATATTTAAATTCTATGAATTCATAGAATTAAAATAAAAAAAAATAAATCGCTCTTGGATGTGTAGTTATCGAGATATTATCGTTTAAAGTTTGAAAAAAACTAAAGCTGCGGTCTTTGTTTTGATGATCGCCTAAATTTTTTAAACTTTGAATGAGGATTTCTCGATAACTACCTATCCAAAATCGATAAAAAATTTTTATTTTGACTATATGAATCCACAGAATTAAAATAAAAAAAATTCGTCAAGTTTATATAGGTAGTTATCGAAATATTCTCGCTCAAAGTTTAAAAAAATTTAGGCGATCAAATTACAGACTGCATTAAGTTTTTTTTTCAAACTTTGAGCGACAATATTTCGATAACTACCTTTCCAATAACGATGATTTTTTTTTTATTTTAATTCTGTGAATCTATAGAATTAAGTCAAAAAGTTTTTTATAAAACTTGGATGGGTTGTTATTGTCATATATTCGTCTAAAGTTTGAAAAAAATATATTATTACAATCGAATGCTTATCATTCTATCAGTATTGATATTACACAAGATCTACATGATAGCAGAAATCGTCTGGGTGCTGTTGGGGTAGTTTGAAGAGATTGGTCACATTTGTTAGTTTATTGTTGAAATTACCCTATTGTATCTCCATATAACTACCCCAGTAGCACCGACAGATTTTCACTGATCGATGCCAAAACAAAGTTTAGCAAGGAATTTTTTTTGCAATTGTAGTTTCATTAGCTATTTTTAAAAAACATGTGATTTTCACGTTACACCTGATCTTAAAATCTAATTGCGCGAAATAACACACAGGGTGTAATTCAGGCCATTATTCAAAATAACACCTCTGCGCGTTATTTCATGCTTATATGGTAGCCATTTAAAGGTTAAGCACATGAGGTATTTATAAATTATCAATGCCCAGTTACATTAAACCGTTTAGAGGTGTTTTGAATGTAACACTACTAAAAAAAAAATTAAATATGTAAATAACCATGTCTACCTCTGCTGAAGAAAAAATTTCGGTTAAAGAAGTTGAAGGATGGAAGGAAACAGAAGATATAATAAAATTTTTGCACATACAAAGCTTAAAACTTGATGATGATAATTACAAAATATTTTATGATCAAAAAATTATTGGTTCAGAATTTCTTGATTTGAGTGTCAATGAACTCATGCAAGATGGTTTAAAATGAGGACCAGCTAAAAGAATTGTTGAATTGATTAAAAAAATCAAAAGCAAAAAAGAGGGTAAGTAGTATCATGACTGCATTCGAATATTCCAAACCTATACTGATTTTTTCACTATCATTTTTTTTAGGTAGTAGCTAAAAACAAAGTAATTTTATGTTGTGTTTTTTATTTGCTTCACCAATATCTCATTTCTTATCCTGCAGAATCTTTGAAAAGAAATATTGAGAGGGTTGTCAAGGAAGTAGAACTTAGACGTAAAGTAAAAAAAGTATGTTATTTTGCTGAAGCATGGCTCAGTTCACCAGGTATGTTGTTTATTCGATCCATCAACAATGCTTTGCAAATGCTGTTTGATTATATATTGTTTTTGTCTTTAGGTATTGTTATGGAAACTGAGAAAGGTCAGGCAGTACTTAATATAGTGTTCCAAGCTGATTAAGTTAGCTGTTTAGCTAGCTGATAGTATGATTAGCCAGCTAATAACGGCTAATGATATTAATTACAAAATTTGAAGTTGTATATAACTATATAGTATAAAAAAAAACCTATTACCAAACTTAAATCTTTGTTATCGTTATATATCGAATTAAAATTTTTGCATCAGATCAAAATAATTATAATGTCATTAATAAACTATCCAATATAGGGTTTTACCCCAACCCTAATTAAACTTAGTTTTGAAAATTTGATCTAAAACAAATTTCAATTTAACGTATAACATATATAAATTTTAGTAACAAATCTCTATTCGACTGAATACTTATTTGTTTTCAAGAATTTAATTTGTTATTTAAAATTCTATAGTATAAAAATAGCCAGAATATTTAAAGTAAACCCGAATCTAAAAAGCTACTTATTTTGAATAAAGTACTATATGATATAAATTAGTGGGGTGTCTATCATCAGTCTAATTGCAAACATAGTGTATATGATATAGTGTTCATCCACTAATTAAGATTTTTTATAGTAAAATTTTATAGTCTCATGCTATATTAAATTACTATGAAAATTGACTTTACTTCATTTTTAATTTCTCCTGTAATATTTAATATTTTTTTATTCTATAAAGACAAAATACTTAATGAAAGGTGTCTTTATAGTATGACAATGCTAGAATTTTATTTTATTAATCATAAATATCTTCAATTTATAGATTGAAGTTTAGTTTACAAAAAAATCATATGACATTTTACGCTGTACAAAAAAGATAATGATAACAATAAACTTTATCTAAAAAGAAAAAAGATCTATATATATATATATATATTTTATTATTATTATTTTGTCAAATGCCATCACGGCCAACTTTATTCGGTGTAAATTTTGCTACCAAAGTAACCGTTACATATACTATATATAGTAGTACATTTTTAGCATATGAGAGTACAACTAGCCACACGTGCACTTTTTGAGTGTCTATTTAAGTAGTCCACCCAAGGTTCTACACTAGCTGCCATACCTATAACCCAACTAGGGAGTTATCTATTTAAACCCTCTGGCACCCCAATCTTGTACTACCCTATTAAGTCTCAAGACCGTACCCTTGTACTGCAACTTATCTAGTTAATATCCAAATAGGGACCACCCAGGTCGATATTCCCCTACTGGTTTTACATTTAACTGAATTCCCTCACTAAAATTAATCATTGGTATTACCCAAGGAGAGGCACAGTAGATGCCCCCTAATTCCTTTCACGTCTCACACATTTTCAGATTAGAATTCAAAGATATTGCGTCTTTAAACCTAAGTTAGTACTAGGGTGTTACCCCACATATCCTCTGCCCTAATTGGTTTACAACAACCCTGGTACCCACGTTCGGAACCGTCTCCTTACCTGGATTCTCTATCGGTCCATCCCTTACTTCCAGCTGGCAACTTAGAAGGATTGGTTTTGTTTAGGCTTTAGGTGCCTAAGAACACCCTCTTCTTGGTTCATACTTTCAGAGTATATGCCCTTTTCCTTCGGTGCGACAACCCGGCAGTTCAGCTAGTATGTCCTCTGCTAGCAGACCTGGTCATTTGGTTCTCCAATCTTGGGCCCTGATTCGAATTCAGCCTTCATGTAGTACTGTCGAAGATCATTGTTACCTCCAACTCGGGACTTCCCAAATAGGTTTTCGGTTATGTTGGTTCCTCGGATTTATTGCACCAAAGCTCCTATTACTAGGTGGTGTGACTGAAGTTACAGATTAGATTCAACTGATAAGCATAGCCGTCAACTATAACGCAAGCCTATTTTTCAAAATCATCCTCCGTGGGATTCGAACTTTAGACCTGCTACTTGGAGAAGGTGATGACTAGACCACTACACTAAGTTGCCACACCTCTTAAGATCTATATTTAATCTATTTCTATTCAACTATTTCTGCTTCAAACCAATTTTTTAAGCAGAACAAAGCCTTAGCCATTTTTTCAGAAATACTATTCCTGATATGATCAATAGTATATTTTGCAGTAGAAGAAACATGCTTGCAAGAAATACAAGTTGTTTGCAAAGTCAAATAGTCTGCTGCAATGCCAGCCAAGGTTGGAAAATAGAAGGCATGGCTCTTCCACCACAACAGCGGATCTGTCTCTGGCTTGTGGCGTAACAAAAGATAGACTTCCAATTCGTCTATTTCTCTGATTTTATTTATTCGTGCAAGTTTATAAAATATTTCTAACTGATTTTTAACAATGTTTTTTATCTTAATAGTGCTTTCTTCAGAGTTATCTGTCATATATAATGAATAAAGATTATTTAATTTATTAATCGCTAATTGACGATCAGTTATATGAAATGTTTCAAATTTAGATGATGGATCTATCAGAGTTGAGATCTTAAAAAATTTTGAAAGATAAATCCAATATTCCTCCAGTTTGACTTTTATTTCTCGGGCTGCTTCATAGTGTATACTACCAACAAAAAGATAATGATTAAGATGCGCTAAGAGGCCTAGAATTATCAATTGTAAAGAACTATGAGAGAGTTGTGAAGTGTTTGAAAGGATCAAAGCTACATCATAAAATAGCTTAAAAAGCTACACCATCTCTTCGATAATTATAAGATCATTATTTTCTAAAAAATATTTTTTTATATTTTGATACAGTTGTATAATGATATTAATAAATTCTTGGATTTTGCTAAACCGTTCAAGCATCAAATAAGTGAAATTCCACCCTGTAGAATTCCACTTTATATTGTCATTGTCAATTTTAATATGGAGAGTTAGACGGTCTATACCAATAGAAGATTTTTTTATTTCTTTCAAGAATGCTGATGATGTTTTTACTTTGATAATAAATTGACAAACTTTTTGAATTTGAGAAATATATTTCTTTTGACCTGCTTCAGCCATGAGATTGATCACATGCATGGCACAACTTATATATTCAAGATCAGGATTTATCTCTTTTTTAAAGTAATCAATACATGTCTGATTACTTATGATATTATCGCTGGTGACTCCAATTATTTGTTCTTTTATTTTTATATCTTTGACAAGTCTTCTTTTGAGATATAATCCAATATAGGCATCATTCAAGAAAACGAAGTCAAGAAGAAGGTTTTTTAACTTTCATTTTTTATTGATCCAATGAGTTACAATCTCAAGAAAATGTTGGTTTGTGCATGCTTTCAAAGTATTCAAGACAAGTGTCAATTTACTTTGATTAGCTTTTATAATATTTTGAATCTTTGCTTTTGCTGAATCAAATTTTTTGTTTATATTAGCAGAGAGGTTTTGACAGTCTGGAATCTCATAACGTGGGTCAAAAGTGAAGATTAATCTTAAAAATGAGATTGTTTCAAGTACTGAAAATGGATGTTTATTTATAACAACCCATTGCAACAACTTATGATTTAAAGATTCAACATGAGTTATCAAACTTTTTTTGTTGAAAAGAGGTTTAAAGTTGTTATCAGATTCGTCAGAATAATTTATTTCATGCTTTTGCTTTTTTTTGAAATAATCAGAATTAACATAGTTTTTAGGATCTTGAATAGAGATTTCAGTAACTTTATTAGAAGATTCTGGGGAAGAATCAGTAATCTTTTGCTTTTTTTCAGCCTGAGAATTTTGAGAAGAGACCATGGAGTCTTTGGAAGAAGACTCAGAAGAATCAATAATTGTGTAAGATGTGTTTGACATATTAGACATAGTAAATAGAGTTTTATATTTAGTGCTTGCTGTAGGAGAGAGATGAATTAGCGAATAAGAAAAAAAAGGTAAACGGTTTTTATTTAAGTTTTCAAGCCATGTAATCAGGTACTGAATCTCATTATTGCAGATACTATTACAATAATGTAATTGTGATATTTTTAATATATAAACTTTGTATTATTTAAAAAGAAATGTTAGCATCATCAAATCACTCACTGCATTTTAATTTATTAATTTAAGCCAACTAAATTTATTTGATAAATTCATCTCTTGAATTAGATCTAGTGTCTACAGTCTTGAATACGATTAGGATGGCATTTTAATTATCAAATATAAATACGGGAAGTAAAGGATATTAGCATTATTATATAGACGTTTTATTGTACTAAGAGTGCTAATTGTCTTTTAATTAATTCTAGAATCTATACTTTTGAATAAGACCAGTGTACTATTTAAATAGTTTTTATTGATATGAATATAGTAAGTATGAATGCACTTTAAGGATTTCGATGGATCTATTAAATTGTCTTATATGAATTAGTTATAGAGTTTATATTTTTGAATATGACCATTGCGGCACGTCTTATTGATATAAATATGGAAAGTATAGATGTGCTTTAAGATTGTATTATGTTAATAATCTAATTTGACTTTTTTATATTAGTTCTAGAGTTTACCTTTTTTGAATATGACCAGTGTGGCACGTCTTGTTAATATAAATATGGAAAGTATAGATGCACTTTAAGATTGTATTATGTTAATAATCTAATTTGACTTTTCTATATTTAGTTCTAGAGTTTATCTTTTTGAATACGACCAGTGCGGCTTGACTTGTTAGTATAAATATGGAAAGTATAGATGTGCTTTAAGATTGTATTATGCTAATAATCTAATTTGACTTTTCTATATTAGTTTTAGAGTTTATCTTTTTGAATATGACCAGTGTGGCATGTCTTGTTAATATAAATATGGAAAGTATAAATGTGCTTTAAGATTGTATTATGCTAATAATCTAATTTGACTTTTCTATATTAGTTCTAGAGTTTACCTTTTGAATATGACCAGTGCGGCTTGTCTTGTTGATATAAATATGGAAAGTACAGATGCACTTTAAGAATCTTGATGAAAATTGCTGTATTATGTTAATAATGCTAATTTGACTAAATTTGGTTGCCTTTCCAAATTAGTTCTAGAGTTTACACTTTGGTATGACTGTCAATATAATATATATGGCAGTATGAATTTCCTAATAGAGCAATATTGAAACTATATTTATTTAAGAGTTTATTTGTATTTTGTTAATTAGCATTTTTTTGAACTTATACCTCAATGATTTACATCTAGAGAACTATTAATACATATCAATATATCATTTTATTAGCTCATTTATTAGAAGCTATTGCCGTACATCTTCTAAATTTATGTTTTTAGTTAGCTTTTTAATAATTGTATATTGTACTAAAAGATGTTTTACAATAATCTTTAATAAAGTTCATAAAAACTTTTAAAAATACCAAAAGAGAGTTTTGTATTATAAAAGATGTAGAATCTTACATGTATTATTCCTAATATATAATTTAACAATTATTTGTGAAACTTCATCTGCTACCTTTTTTTAAACAATTGCATCATGCTTTATTTTACAGTATTAAATCGTTATTAAAAATCAATGATTGTATCGAATTGATTAAATAAAATTTTGTCGAGTTATATACAGTATAAGTTTAAAAGTTCATGTAATAAAATAATTCAGAATATATTAAATTTATCATCAGAAAAAAGAATTGTATAAATTTTTATTTGATTCAATTAAAATTTTACAATTATCATTATTGTATTAAATTTATTCATCAGAAAAAAAAACTTGCATAAATTTTTATTCGATTCAATTAAAATCTTTAAAATTATTATTTAAATAATACAGATTCACAAATTATTCATTAATTAAAATATCTTCCAACATGTAATATATAAGCCCGTACCTAGTGATGAGACCTCTAAGTTTTAGTTAATAATGAAAAAATTAATAATATGTTATTAATATTATTAATAGTTAATAACTTCAATTATTGCTAATAATGTCAATATAATGAATTAAATTAACTACTAACAAATTTAATAAAAGTTTAGTCTGCCAATATTTGAGAAAATATTGATATAACTTTTCATTTTTTATACATCCTGTATTAATTAGCTGTGTCATATATTATTAAGTTGTTATTAGTTAATAATTAAATCAATTAATTAAAATAATCAATATTAATTATTAATGATTCAAGAGGTCCCATCACTACCCGTATCTATCTTATAATAGAACTGATAATGTAAATTATAAAAATAAATTACTAAATCAAAGCGAGTAATAAATTAGCTTTATAAGTCCCAATTGTTATTTTCATCTTTTAGTAAAGTAATATTACAATATGTACTTAATT